AAAAAAAAAAAAAAAAAAAAAAAAAAAAAAAAAAAAAAAAAACGGGACAAGCCTCATATTCTCGCGTATAGCAAGATATACGCGGCCATGTTTATTGGATCGGAAAATGATCGGGGTGAAATATCGGGGGCACGTTTAAAAATCCATCACGCTTTGTCGAGGGGTTCATTCGCGAAATATTCGATGGAACTCTTTCCAACTTCATATATTCCATCCTCGATCCTCTCCAACCACCCTCTCTCCTTCACACCCTCCCTCTTGACTCGCGTTTTCGTTTCGAGATCATCGCTCGCTCTTCCGACCTGATAACTTTTAATCCGACCGCGAGTCACTGATCTTTTTCTGATTCAAATACGCTTGAAATATAGTCGGCACAGGAGGGGAGGATATTACATCTCCACTCTTTTCTTACCGGAATTTCGTAATTTCGAGTGTGGAAAGACATTTTCGAAAGATGATTTCGTGTCAAAAAGCAATATCAAGCAATTTTTATTTAATTATTATGAAATGGTATTAGAAACAAATTCGTTGAAATAGAATCTCGTAGTCGATATTTATATAATATATTGCGAGATAAAATGTAATTTTAAGAACGACGTTCTTACTGTCGGTAGTGAATCAATTAAACGAGTTCGATTTGAAAAAAATTCCATTGCATTCCGTGATATTAAATCCTCTCCGATATAAGTGTATCGTTCAATTTTTTTTCAAACGCGTTACGTCGTTGAGCCAAGTTCGCAACGAAACACAAAGAGACTGGAAATATTAAAAATCGCGCAAATAGCCAGCATCCAAGCCCATTCTTTTCCCCGTGTTCAAGTTTTTCACTCGATCAATGGAATTTTTCTCAACGTATCGTAATATTAGTAATCGTGTTCGAAAGGGTGGATTGATCGTGAGCGTGGAAAGAAATTTCGCCCGGTTGTGTGTTAATTAATGTGGGAACCGTTCCGCAATGAAATTCTCTGCGTTTCTCTTTTCCCGTTTCTGGCCAAACAGAGAGAGAGAGAGAAAGAGAGAGAGAGAGAGAGAGAGAAACTTCTGATAAAATAAATGGTAACCTAGTTTCGCAAAAATAAAGCGCGTTTTCATAAGACTTATGCAAAAGAGGAGGAAGAGAAATTGGAACAAGTGGGCGAGGGGGTCAGGGGAAAAACGAATGGAACAATAAGAGTTTCATAAAGTGACCGTTCTCTTTGTGATACATACGATCATAAATGCGATTCTTCGCCATTTTTCACGTTGCATCCACGTGAAAATTTTCATCGATTCGAAACGTAACACAAGATTGTTTTTAGTGAATCCTCTGCTTTCTTTCGCGTGACAATCGAGAAATGATCGCGAACGAGGTAAGCAATAATCGTTGACACCGCGTCTCGAAATTTGTAACACGTACTTGTGAACTTTCTTCCCTTGCCTCGGGATAGAAAATCGATATTTACGAGTCTTCTTGAGGCTTCTATGATGTGCATGTACATCGTATAAAATGGTTGGAAAATTGTTCGATCGAATAACTTTCCTCTGAATTGGCTATGATATCCTTGAAACACGCGTAACAACGTTGTACAAGTTTTTTTTTTTTTTTGATTCAATAAAAATATTCTTTTCACGTGGGATTGTATTATTTTTAATAATTCAAGAGCGGCGTTTTTTTATTTAAAAGTTTGAAAATATTTTACCAGCGTTCTGGTTCGGTACTGAATTAAATTTCGCTTGTTTTACAACGATTTTATCGACGCAACATTATTTCATGGAAATCGGAACGTTATCAAAGTAAACTTATTCAAACGACTATTCTAAACAAATTTTTTTTTAATCAAATTGTTCACCCTCTTCAATTCTTTATTTTTGTATTATATTCTCGAGAAGAATATAATACTTTTTAAATTCTGTAATTTGTATATTTCTCGCATTTTCACTCTTCCTCTCGCATCCGTCTTTCGAACGGACACAATTCTTCCAAAAAACAATTCGATTTTACAAAAAAATCACACGATTCTCTTAAACTCTTCGCCAAACAATCGAATAAAACTCCTTTAAAACTCGTTTTAAATCGATCGATCGGATTAATCAATTGGCTAATTTCGTCCATTCTTTATCCAGCGCAGAGACATTATTCCTGTATCATCTTCGAGATTCTCGAGAACACGTCGCCTCGAGAACGGTTCGACTCTATGATGAATGACGATTGCACTGCTCCGCGATATTTAAGCTTCCCTCCCTTGTGGATAATAACTCGAGCAGATATCGTAACAGGGTAGATTTCGGTCACAATCGTGGAAGGGATCGTAAGAGAACTACTTCTCCCCTGGGATTGCCACCCGCTTTCCCTTCGATCCACCGCTTCACGACGGCTTTTTAACCTTTCCCTCTGACCCTCGCCACGGTGCAATT